AGTTGGTTTTTCATTAATCCCGTCATTCTTTCTAATGGGCTTAGGTCTAATATATCTGTCTCTTACTTCTGGCTTTCTTGTTGAGGGCTCAATACTTTCTATCTTATGGCATACACTGCTTAACGGAATCTCTGTCAGGTGCAGCTTCTCGAACCAGTCTAAACCCAAGAGGTCAAGGTTTGAATTATTGATGTAGCATGTGCCGACGAAATGACTATGGCGAAACCCAACGCTGCATTTAATTTCTCCATTCAATCGAAGTCTTCCACCACATGCGCTAATTGCCATCTGATTAGTCTTCTCTATGGCAGGGCATCCCAACTTCTGCCATAATTTCTTTGATATTATTGTAATATCGGATGCTGTGTCGATTTGTAGGCGTGCCGGCCGTGTATTAATCGTCAGATCGATATATTTGCGAGGTGCTGGAGTACTAATATGATATGTGGCAGTAACACCCAAAGACTTGAGCTTGTTGCGCCGTCTGAGTCGACTACGAGATCTGGGTCGGTTGTTGCGTTTGCAGTAGTCATCTTTGTGACCAACAGTATGGCATCGACGGCATTTATGCTGTTTGAATGGGCACAAGTTTGCGAAATGCCAGGAGCCACAGTGCCAGCAGGCTGATGGTGGTTTATGCTGAGGATGAAGCGGTGCGGTTGATGTCGACGGTACTGGATGCACCGCATGCACTTCTGCTGCATTTTGGCTGCCAGACTGCACCAAGACGGTATCGTTGTGAATGTTGATTAAACGCTGATATTCTTCACCGACGTCTTTCAAAGTCATTCGTGGATCTTGTTCCAAACTATTTAATAGACGTGTGCGTATATCAGCAAATTTGGGAGACTGCAACCCACAGATGAGAATCAATACCTTGAACTGGTCTTCTGGGAGTGATTTTAATTTAAAACGTTCACACGTGCGATTGACTATACCCAACTGGGTATGGATATCATCATTTTCGTTCAAAACTAGTTTCATGCAATGATATCGAATGTTGAATAACGATCTCTGATCACCAAACTGATGACGAAGGGTATGGACAGTTTCATCGAATGATCTTTCACTGGGCTTCTGTGGCAGAATTAAGTTGCAGTATTTATCTAGCTCATCTGCTCCCAATTTACGAAGTAGAAGCCGTACTTTCCAGGCATCGTCTTTATCCGCAAAGTCTACACGGAATAGGTCTTCATATCTGCGAAACCAGGTATCAAATGTTACGTTCGCATCTGGATCATAAACGAATTCTGAGATGCTACTACCAATGCTGTCGTTGGCTGTAGATGAATCAGCAGAGCGTGATATTTGTAGACCAGCAAGCATTTCCATCAATTTTAGCTGCTGTTCCATTAGTTTCTCTAAACGCAGTGGGTCCATCTTCAGCAAACCCGTCGCCAAATTTGTTATGTATGTGAATATTAGGACCTTGTAGACTACGAGCGAATCTAATTAATGCGCTGGCTAATCTGTCCTAATCGCACGTCAACAACAACAACAATAATACCGCCGGGCACGCAAGACAAATAAAAGAGAAGACTGGACGTTGATATGAGAGCTTTTACTGTCTCAAACAACAGTCGAAATATTAAACAACAACTCCGTATTTATACAATTAGAAAAATCAATGTCACATTTTAAAAATATTAACAAACCCTGGGGATTCAGTAATTTAAATCAATAATCACGCAGATGCGTGAAATCAATGATTATGCTAGTGTGTGAAATAAATAATGAATATTAATGATTCACCTGCGTATATATTACCTCCCCTTTTAAAAGGAATCTTGCAAACAGTTTAGTATCTTTTTTCCTTGGGGTCGATTCGGAAATGAACTGTTTGTGTTCGTTTGCGCTGGGATCGTCGGCTGGGTAGCATCTCTTGTTTTGCTTCTGGTTTGACTGGTGGTATTTTGAAAGTTTCCAGTAGTAAATCCAGTGGCAATTTAGGTTCTTGGGATGTAGTATATCGACTTCGTATCTGATTTTTATGTCTTATCCACCATTCATCCCCAACTTTAACCTTGTACATTAGAGTTCCATGTCGACATTCTATCAAGCCTTCGGCCCATTTTCTGTTCCTCGGTCGATAATCGCGCACATAGACAGCATCACCCTTGCGGTAGTACGTCACACTATTTCTTCGTTGATGTGACGAAGATGGTAACATGGAGTGGTGATGAGTTCGTAGCATTCGACCCATTAGAAGTTCTGCAGGGCTTTTCTTCTGTTCTGCCAGTGGTGTAGTTCGGTATACAAAAAGAAAGTTTTGTATTGCTTCCGGTTTCGCCCCTCCCCCTGCTTTCAACAACGCTCGTTTGAAAGTGTCGACAAATCTTTCTGCCTGACCGTTGGATTGAGGGTGATAAGGTGGCGACCCCACGTGTTGTATACCGTTTCTCTTGCAAAATTCCTGGAACGCTTGTGAGGTGAACTGACTGCCATTGTCAGATACGATGATTTCTGGTATACCGTGACATGCGAAGATCTTTTCCAGGACTGATACTGTTCTGCTGCTAGAAGGCGGTGTCACTTGTACTACTTCCGGCCATTTTGAGTAAGAGTCCACGAGAACCAAGTAGTATATACCTTCTATCGGCCCAGCAAAATCCACATGTAGGCGGGACCACGGTTTTGACGTGGGCCATGCTCTTGGTGGCTCCCGCGGCGGATCTTTGGCTGCCATGACAGACATCACTTTCAGTTTTTGAGCAGAGCTTCTCTTACTGGAGCTAACAGTTGCTACTTTGTTGCTACCAGACATCGAAGCACTTTTGGCGCAGCCATACTCACTATGACGATTCGAAGTTGGTTTTTCATTAATCCCGTCATTCTTTCTAATGGGCTTAGGTCTAATATATCTGTCTCTTACTTCTGGCTTTCTTGTTGAGGGCTCAATACTTTCTATCTTATGGCATACACTGCTTAACGGAATCTCTGTCAGGTGCAGCTTCTCGAACCAGTCTAAACCCAAGAGGTCAAGGTTTGAATTATTGATGTAGCATGTGCCGACGAAATGACTATGGCGAAACCCAACGCTGCATTTAATTTCTCCATTCAATCGAAGTCTTCCACCACATGCGCTAATTGCCATCTGATTAGTCTTCTCTATGGCAGGGCATCCCAACTTCTGCCATAATTTCTTTGATATTATTGTAATATCGGATGCTGTGTCGATTTGTAGGCGTGCCGGCCGTGTATTAATCGTCAGATCGATATATTTGCGAGGTGCTGGAGTACTAATATGATATGTGGCAGTAACACCCAAAGACTTGAGCTTGTTGCGCCGTCTGAGTCGACTACGAGATCTGGGTCGGTTGTTGCGTTTGCAGTAGTCATCTTTGTGACCAACAGTATGGCATCGACGGCATTTATGCTGTTTGAATGGGCACAATTTTGCAAAATGCCAGGAGCCACAGTGCCAGCAGGCTGATGGTGGTTTATGCTGAGGATGAAGCGGTGCGGTTGATGTCGACGGTACTGGATGCACCGCATGCACTTCTGCTGCATTTTGGCTGCCAGACTGCACCAAGACGGTATCGTTGTGAATGTTGATTAAACGCTGATATTCTTCACCGACGTCTTTCAAAGTCATTCGTGGATCTTGTTCCAAACTATTTAATAGACGTGTGCGTATATCAGCAAATTTGGGAGACTGCAACCCACAGATGAGAATCAATACCTTGAACTGGTCTTCTGGGAGTGATTTTAATTTAAAACGTTCACACGTGCGATTGACTATACCCAACTGGGTATGGATATCATCATTTTCGTTCAAAACTAGTTTCATGCAATGATATCGAATGTTGAATAACGATCTCTGATCACCAAACTGATGACGAAGGGTATGGACAGTTTCATCGAATGATCTTTCACTGGGCTTCTGTGGCAGAATTAAGTTGCAGTATTTATCTAGCTCATCTGCTCCCAATTTACGAAGTAGAAGCCGTACTTTCCAGGCATCGTCTTTATCCGCAAAGTCTACACGGAATAGGTCTTCATATCTGCGAAACCAGGTATCAAATGTTACGTTCGCATCTGGATCATAAACGAATTCTGAGATGCTACTACCAATGCTGTCGTTGGCTGTAGATGAATCAGCAGAGCGTGATATTTGTAGACCAGCAAGCATTTCCATCAATTTTAGCTGCTGTTCCATTAGTTTCTCTAAACGCAGTGGGTCCATCTTCAGCAAACCCGTCGCCAAATTTGTTATGTTGTGAATATTAGGACCTTGTAGACTACGAGCGAATCTAATTTAATGCGCTGGCTAATCTGTCCTAATCGCACGTCAACAACAACAACAATAATACCGCCGGGCACGCAAGACAAATAAAAGAGAAGACTGGACGTTGATATGAGAGCTTTTACTGTCTCAAACAACAGTCGAAATATTAAACAACAACTCCGTATTTATACAATTAGAAAAATCAATGTCACATTTTAAAAATATTAACAAACCCTGGGGATTCAGTAATTTAAATCAATAATCACGCAGATGCGTGAAATCAATGATTATGCTAGTGTGTGAAATAAATAATGAATATTAATGATTCACCTGCGTATATATTAAAACCACATATAATTAATCCCTGCACTACTCCTTCTGGAGTCAACCAAAGCTACGGCAGTTGAGTGGCGGGACGAGCTACTCAGACGTTTACCAAAGATCAGGAACCTCTACCTCACAATCAAGAGGCGAGCATAAAGAAATCAAATTGGTTTATACTAGCTCGTAAAAACGATATTGGATATCGGATTCAAACCAGATTTTCTCTAGTTTCAGCCAATCAGTGTAAGAAGGTAATCCTTACAATCACTCCACACCTTATGTTTGCCTAATGACCAGTGGAAGGATTCTTCTAGTAACACCACTAAATCTAACGAGGTTTTTTTGAGCTAATCGAAATGAACGTTGACCTTGAAAAATTGTTAGCCTTTTGAAAATCTCTTGAATTCCTGCTTTAATAATGTGATGTTAAATGTTTGAAGAATAATCGATGGAGAATCATGGAAATAATCTCAACAGACTTCCAGAAGATGTAAAATTGTCCAGGAATAGCTCTTTTTCAAGACATGGGACCAAGTCAGACACAAATGTCGAACTGCCAACATGTCTATCAAAAAGAGGTGATTTACCACCCATTCAGAAAAGCGAAAGACGGTTATCGACGCATTCTGAAAAGAAGTCAGTTACATTCTCGGTATGTGGCAGCGAGAAGAGCAATCGTATTTTAAATGGTAAGTACTGATTACTTTAGCTATGGACGTTTTTTGTGTATTGTGCGGGGAAATAATTTTATATGAATACAATGAATTACAACATTTTAAATTTTATTTGATTTTTTGTGGACGAAAGTACTTATATAAAACTAATCGGATACCTGAACACTTGAAATAGGAATCCAATTAAAGAGTGTAGAGAGTCGTATTCAATCTTTGAAAGGAGTCTGATCGAACTTTACTACCATTATTTCAGTGTGACGTTGCTAAATTTAACATTTTTAGTTATGTTCCATGTATTTGTGACATTTTATGCCAGCATTTATTTCGATTTACTAATTAAAACGTTTCCTGCAATTTTATTTTACCTTGCCTGTCCAGCACATTTATAAGGCCCCTTTCTAGTTGGAAAGTGATGTATTCTATGTGTGGTCACATTGACACTGCTTCCCTCTGCAAAATTGCCTTTGAATATTACAGGCAAATAAGGAACCTGACTAAAGTAGGGTAGATATCTCTGTGTATTTTGCTCACATCTAATCCTATTTATGGAAGTTCTTCCAAATACAAAAAGGTGAGTGCCTTGAAGCCATCGAGACACCATTCTCCCTGAATCTGACGTCAGTTTGTGAAGGGTAGATTCTGAAGGCCTTTTTATTACTTTGTTATTCTACATTCTACAGTGTAAATAAGTGATGTTTTATTATACTAGTACAAAGATCTCTTGATGTATGGTGAATCTATTTCTGTTTGTAAATAATGTCCTTATTCCGTAATCCTTATCGGTCAACTCACTCTATGTTGAAAGTTGTCTAAATATGTATTTTCAGAAGGCATTTCTAAGAGAATTTAACGATACTGATGTCTTGTCTTCGAAACACGGAAATGAAATTGTTTTGACCTAAAAATGAGTATGCAGTGAATTTTACAGCATATATTTTATACTTTTATAACACAGTTGTGCAGGAGATGCTGTTAACTTTATCTTAGGTGCGACATCTTTATATCGTGGTGTTTCGTTTTGTTTACTTGTTAAATTGACGAGTTTTCAAAGCTCATATCATGGATCCATGTTTACAGCTAAGCAAGTCATCAAACATTTCATTTTAATATGTATGACTGAGTGAAGTTTTTATAATTTGATTCTGTTTTATGAATGCTTTGTATGCAAGTATATACTTCATTTCGTGTCATGGAAATGGTTTGTAGTCGTACTCAATACACACCAAGCTTATAATTAACTCTTGGTTTATTTGCAAGTTCCTAAGGTCTTTGGACTTACTTTTTTTAGCATTTTGAACTAACTCGCTTTTTGTATTTTTTAATTATTCACGAAATGTGGATTAATAATGCGGTGATCTACAACAACAATCTTTACCTGATTCATGCATTTGTTTTTAATAGAACAATCGTTTAGGTCCATAGTCTTCATTTTGTTTTCCCCACTTTTGTAGTAGGATTTGAGCTTTGGGCAAGTAGTCACTTGTTACGCTATAATATAAATCAAATGAAGTCACAATCTCTAGATTCATTTGGAAAATCTGTGATTTAGGGACAATACTACTAGTGAACGTCCTGTTAAGCTGTTTGACTGAAGGTGAATTGAAGCCGTGTATAGATAACGGCTACCGTTAACCTTAGCCCATTCACTGATCTTTTTTCAGTGAATTGGGAGTCGTATTTTAGTAACTAAGATTCTAGGTCCTTCTTCTTGGATGATTGTCTTCATTATACCTCTATACTGATTTTGAATCAATAGTGTTTCTAATTATTACTTCCAATAGTCTGGAATGAGAGCTCGCAATGATTAGAACACTATATAAGGGTCACAATAAAATGCTTGAATATACTGACATATCTTACAAGACGCAGACTATGAGTAACAGTTTACAATTTACCTTTTAGTAGTTGTGGCGTGATGATGAGAATCACTCTTCTGTTCATGCTTCAGAATTTTTTATTGCCACTTACAATACTTGTAACTTGTTCCCTAATTTACTCCCATAGATTTCAAACTCATCGGACAACTTTAAATCATGGTTTATTTTGAAAGCACTTCAACATACATTTATGTGATTCTGTTAAGATGCTTCACAAATAAATTATCTTAAGGAATAAAATCAATATGAAGACGTAATTTGTCTGAATCGTGTGTGTAATGTATTTGCGCAACACATTTCGAACAATCTGATCAAATACACACGGACTTGTTATAGGAATATACATGAAATTAATAAAGAGTTAAGAGGTGAGAAAATAGGCAAGTTGGGTCAAGTTAAAAGGACGGATTAAAGGTGAAAATAACAATGAAGATGACTAAATCAAATAAGAGAGGTAATCATATATCTGCTATGGTATCAAAACAACGTTTACCAAGGAATGTTTAGTGTGATGACGAATTGTTTTTGAACGGATTAAGGTGGTTTAAACTTTCTAATTGCCAGCTAGGGCTTCCGCAAACTTTAAAATACGCCTCAAACACGTTTCATAGATTGGTTTAAAGGATGTGTTAACGTTAATTTCATGTCCTGTCTCTATAGTGTCTTTCGCAATAGAGAAGCTAGGTCTCTTGTTCTCACCATTAATGGGATCTTAAAATTCTTTTTGTTTCTGTAGCCATTTAGGAATATGCTCTGAAGCCAGCCCTTACTTGCAGAGATCGATGAGTCCTACATTACAAGATTCAGACAAACTACGTCTTCTTATTGCTTTGTCTAAATTCATAAAGGGAACTAATCGTTTTAAAGGAATAAAATATTGCTGACGTTTTATGCATCATTCGAGATGATTACTAGAGTCTAACTAATGTCGTATTATCGAACTACTACTGTAATGGTGAAGTTTTCAGTTTACTCTTAGAAATAGAAGGCATACATCATGGCGGTACATCTCCTGTTTGATATCTTTATCGTTGTCTTCACAAGGCTTTAAATATAACCTCTTCTTTATGCGTCATTATGCATTTTCATTACACTGAATTACCGTTCTTTGATTACTTCCTGAATAAACCAGCTTGTATTTATAAATAAGTTACAGAATATCTGCACACTATATGACATGCCTTAAAATTCTAATACTAAGAGCCAATTTTCTGTTGGAATCTGATGGCTCTTGGTAAAAAATATAGTGCATACTTTGAGTCAAGTTACGCTTATAGAAGATTACAAGATGAGCACGGTTAAAATGCAAAACAAATTGATAAATGGACCCACATATTTGCTTAGAGGATTTCGTTTCAATGTATTGTGTTTACGTAGGCCTACGAGCTGTTCACTTATTGAATAATCAGTTTTAATGTAGGAAAAACTTGTCAGATATAACGTACTTTTATATATTTGCAATTTATTATTATATTATTCCCTGATGTTCCAAATGGAACATGTGGCCTCAGTAGTCTATCGCCACTTCACTCTGTTTTCTGCAGTCTTATAAAGCTCCTCTCCACATAAAATCTCCTCCATGTCATATTTCGACGCACGCCCAACTCATCATCTCACATTCGGGTTCCACTCTTAGGTGCTGTGCGTCGTGCGGCGTATGTTGTTGCTTATACTTTCTAGCAGGCTATATGTTTTTCACTATGGAGCGAAAGCATGTGTTAACAAAAGTCTGTAGCCTGTTGGAAATGGCTTTGCTGACGCAAAACTTCTTCGTGTCAAAGATCCGAATCGTGTTCCTTATGCTGAGTGTAGCAGATTTCCACACTGAATTCCAATGAATGCAGGTCCGATCTTGGCTGTCTGTAGTTGAAACGATACTGCCTAGATAAGTGAAGGGGGTATGAATTCCTTCAAATTTCTCCCACTGAGATGGTGACTGGTGCTTAGTGTACTAATTCACTAGTGTACTAGTCATCCCTAGGCCTGTAAACTAAAAGAGATGCTTGAGCTTGGGGCTGGTGATCCAATCCAATTGCTACAGAAATTTCAAAACGTAGAAGAATTTTAAAATAAACTTAATTATAGAATTTAATTGGTGGATGGTGGCTAGCAGTGGAATCCAAGATGCGCATTTCGTCCTATTTGGCACTAGTCGTCTGGATGTACCTGAATTCCCCAGTGAGTGATGATGTTCCCACTTATTTATAATTTAGAGATTTGACCTGGAAAAAAAGATTCACTATCTCACTGTAACTAAGGAAATTCATCAGATTAGTGCGCGTGATTAAGTGAATTCGTGCATATTCTTTATAACACAATGTATGATACACTTTACTGTCCACAAGAATTAAATGGACTGTCTTTAGCATATTTCACAGGTGTTGCTTTATTCAAATTTCAATAAAGTTTCAGTTAGGTTACCTTAAATTCGTCCCTTTTTGTTTCCCTAGTCAAAGTTGTCTTTGAACTGAAGAAAAGTGAGGAAAAAGGTGTTTTTTGATCATTGACCCGGATAAAAATAGGTCATACATTTTGGTAGCACACACTTAATCGGAATATTCAATAAAGGATTTTACTAAAATGACATTATCTAATGTAATGATGCCTAAGCACAAGGCAATTAAATTTATAATATCCCATAAACGTTGTCAAATCTCTTCTCTCTATACTGAAGATCAGATGGCCGGAAAGAATTACCAAAAAGAAACTATGGGAACAAACAAAACAAGAACCAATCGCCCAATAAATATGCAGGAGAAAGTGGAGATGGATTGGACACACTTGCTGAGGAGGCTGCTGGGTGATATCGCGCGTCAGGCCAGTGGTCGAGTGGAACCCGAAATGGAAGCGGCGAGTGGGACGTCCGAGGGTGACATGGAGGAGATCGTGTGAAGAGGAGTTGAAACAGTATGGATTAACATGGATGCAGGTGAAAAGTACAGCGGAAGACAGAAGCAAGTGGAGACGTGCATTTGAATCGTGATGTTCCACTAGGAACCCAAGGGAACAATAATAATATAATAATAAACGTTGTCATGTATATTTCACCGAATACTATATGGTCCTCACAGGAAGTACACTTCGATGTCCGTGTTATTAAAAAAATAAACAAAACTGGTCCCTACTTTTTACCATTCT